TTTTCAGATTTATTCATATAAAAACCTTTCTGCTGATGCCAAGCCAAACTGTCAGCACATTTACCTCTATTAAAAATGTAGGTGTTCTGACAACAAAGCAATGAAATGCTGAAAAAATGCCTTTTATCTAGGCATGGATAATAGGCTTTTTTTCTCGCATTTGCATCAGTCCCTGAACAGCCTCCTCCCGCAGTTCTAATGTACCTGTGGGCAGTTAGCATCAATTTCAGATCTACTGAATTTTGGTCTCTTGCTGGTATTCAAGTGTAGAAACTGAGAACCAAATTGTCCAACAATAGAAGGTGTATATTTTAAAAGTTTTCTTATTAAAGTTTTGTAAATCTCAGAAATAAGAAAAAAAACTATCTTTGTGCCACATTATTCTAATGACCCAAAATGCTGCTCTTCAGGTAATTTTATGTCTGTTAAGTATGGTAGAGTAAATGGCTTCTAGCATGGAAGAGAAAAATCCTTTGTTCACGTTACTCTTGTTCTTTTTGTACTCTTTTCTTAACATTATATATTTAGGGGGGAAAAAAAAAAAAAAAAAGATGGCTTTAAAATTTTAAAAATGAAGTATGCCACAACAGTTTTTTAAAGTTGTACAGTTTTCTAAAGCTGAATGAAAAGGATGAACTTGGGAAGTACAGTAAGGAGAACGTGCACTGAGTTAAAACAGATCTGGAAAGCACTAATTCTTTGCTGCTTATATTAATAAATAGTACAGAAACCAAGAGAAAAGAAAGAAACAATGTAAGTGTTGAGGCTTACTATTTCATCATTCCCTCTTCTGGTTTGAGTAGTTGTCTTTTAGTTCCCTTTAGTTAAGGAGATCTAGCTCACAATATTGCCACAAATGGACATCTAGAGAAAAACAGGAATGGCATGTACTTCTTTTGGGGTACTTTCTTTTCTAATGCAGTCTAATCTTCATTTGTTTGCTCTTTGGTAAATCCCTGAAGTTGATATACTTTGTCAGTGTAGTATTTTTTGCTTTCATCTTACCTTTCCCTTTCAAATACTTGTTTGGAATTCCCTTGCATCCATTTCTTATATCCAAAATGTACATTGGCAAGGATTTTCAAATCCGCCGTTCCACTGAGTAAGGCAAAAAGTTGTGCTCTTGTCATTGGTCTGAATCTCCTGAATTTAGTGGGAAGACATTATCAGAGCAAAAGTAGATTGTTGTGATAATATCATGAGTTTCATTGTATGTCCATGCCAACTATATAAAATCATCACTGTTAATATTTCATGTTGTTGATTTTACATGAAATAGCCACTGCCCTGAAATATGAAATCATACCGAAAGGATGGGGATTGGCAACAATTTAAAGCAAATGCTGCATTGGAAAAGATGCTTTTCACTTTTGTGTCTTTTTTTTGTTACTGTATTATTGAGTTGCCTCAAAATGATACAAATTGAGTATCTTAATATTGGAAGTATGCCCTCTGGTGTGTGGTTTTTGTGGTTTGTTTTTCTTTTTTCTTATGGTAGATTTTTCTTCCTCTCAGATTATTTTTTTTCTTTTTTTTTTTCTTTTTCTTTTTCCTCTTTATTTGGGAGGAATACAGAGTGGTGTAGTCAGGATGTGTTGTGCTGATTATAAAAAAAATCTGTGAGGTGCTTATTGAAAGTACCAGCTTTATTTCCAGTCAAGTGTAGAAATATGTAGAATCCCTTCAGCCTTCCCACTCAAGTAATTTTGCCATTGTTATTTCTTCCTCGTTCCTATCAAAGGGCCAAATTTTGCCTTCTCATATCTATGTGGCTTGTGCTTTGAATTTAAAAGAAGCACATACATTTTGGAGATGTTTCTTCTGCGGATAGTGAATGTTTTTGTTCAGGCTTTCCTTAGTGCTCACTTAGATGGCTAACGTACGTGTTTTCTATCTTGACTGAAGGAAAAATTTTATTTGGCTCATTCATTTATTTATTTTAATAAGACTCATTCACCATGAGATATTTTATGAATTAATCTGGAATCTGGAAGATCAGAGTCCCTGGACTGTCATAACTTGTCTTAGGCAAGTCATTAAATTTCAAAGTGTTCCATTTATCATGCTAACAAAAATTCAGTCAATTTCTGTGCTCCTTTCAGTTACAAATAGGTCAGAAGCTGCTTGATGCAAATTTTTGTCTATGGAACCTTTTATGATACTACTGCGATCTTCACTAGAATTGCTTAATTCCACTAAAATGCAAATATGAATCTATACTTTAAATATATATGTGTTTGAACACTTCAACATAATGATCCAGAACAATAAGCAAATAAAACGACCTATGATTTATCCATGCCTTGATTAATTTTAATCATAGCTATTTCTTAATTTGGACTTTTCCAATAATTAGGATAAATTTTGTTTCTAATGAGAACACAACTGCTCACTTAGAATGGGATTATGGTAATTATTAGAGTTGCAAGGAAATTTGTTCCATAAGCTCTTAGAGGGGTTAGTTATCTGACCAAAACCAAGATCAGTATGGTTGGTGCTAATTAAAGCAAATAGACTAGGGAATAAAAAAAGATTTAATTGTGAATTTATGAATATCATTAAAAGCTTACATGGCTAGTTTAACTTGTGTGTTATGCATTGTTGGGGGAAGAAAGAGCGTCTGCATTCATAAGACAAACAGAAATGAGAAGTGACCTTCAATTTTGTAAAGCCCTTATAAGGAAGTTGTTTTAATAGAATAAACATGGCTAAGCCTCTGATATGAGCCTTTGGCAAACCACAAATGACTAGTAATTAGCTCTATTGTGTGGGGTTAATTAATAAGAGATAGCTTAAAAATAAGCAGAAAATATGTTTATCCAGTACACTAGTAATGTAAATTATGATGATAATAAACTGCTGGTATGTTTTATCTCTTTGTAGAGCTTTATAAACATCAGCCACTTCTTGTCTTCAGCACCCTTATGATGTGAATATAGCTACTTCTCTTTTGCAGGTGACATAAATGCATGTATGTCACCAAAGAGCTGGTAGAAGTAAAGGCAATATGCTGAGGGCAAAGGCAGGCATGACCAAAGTGTAAACATGAGCAAATTTCTCTTCCAGGCAGAATTTGTATATAGATAGATAGATAGATATGTCACTGTAAAGCTATTAAGCCACTGTATTTCTTCTTCAGCCTCTGGGAAAAAGCAGATGGGAAGGTGCTGTTTTGAGAGATCTTGCACCAGCCGGTCCTCCCTGTGAAATTCCATAGGCTGCTCTTGCTTCTTCAGAAATGACCCATAGTTTAAAATCTTCTCCATTGCCAAGATGAGATGTAACAGGAGAGGGGCTACCTGAGCTGTCACTTTACTGGCTAGATGATTCCCCAGCATACAATTGAAGACCAAAATCTCATCCCTTCTCAGATTGCCCTGTCAGGATGAGCGAAGTCAACAGCTTTGCTCATCCCTTCTGTCTGTTCCTTAAAGTGTCTCAATAAAAATCCTGAGCAATGGTGTACACTACAGACAGACAAGTTGGACTTTTAGATGCACGTTCTTACTTCCCTTGCAGTTCAGCTCAGGTTCAACATCGCAGTTTTCACCCATTTGTTCCTTATAACATTGCAAAAATCTCCCTGATTGAGCAGAAAAACTAGGCCTACATTTACCTTCTCTTTCCTCATTCTATATTTGAGCCCAATGATTAGTAGAAGCTGTAAAGTTGATTTTCATAAAAGCAATATAACTGCCTCAGTAGGTGTTAATGACAGTTATAAATAACATATTCCCATCTTGAATTTCTTATGTCTCTAATGTTTGAATAATAAATAATGACTGTATTGATTAAGCAACAATAAAAGTGAAATAATCTTTGACATGATATATTATCTGTGTAATTATATGACCACTAGTGACACGTCAGTTTTCTGTTTCCACACAAGTGCACTTGAATTGTCAGGATTCTCAAAGAAATGTGTTGAAAGCCACAATTAAAGACAACGTGCACAGTTAAATGCAAAAAAATGTTTGCTTGGGATGAGATAATCTCCAAGAAAGTCAGGTCTTCAGCTAGTACAAATCGAGGTAGCTTCAGTGACTTTGGCTCTTGCTAACGTTGCTGAAAAATCTGGACTATAAAAAGGATTTTGAAGATCTATTTACAGCCAAGGAGACCCTAATGAAATGTTGACATGTGTGAGATGGATTGATTGTCCGTTTTCTATCTACCCATCACAATTGAATCAGTGGTATAAATAAGTTACTCAGCATACAGTGTAAAAGAGATTATCTAATATACAGTAAGGGGAAAAAACTAAAAGGGAAGAAAAGATGAACAATGCAATAAGCTCTGTTACCACATAGGCTGGTGTAACTCCTTTACTCTGCCTGCATTTACGCTGCTGTTGTTCAGATCAGCATTCACCTCTTGTCTTAGAGATTGAATTTATCTCCCACAGCTTTTGTTTTTGCTCACATCCCAAGTTGCATACTTCTATGCCACTTTTTTCTTTTAATAATTTGTTTTGTAATAATACTTTGGAGGCATACCAACTGAAACAAGGAAGAAAGAATACAGAACTCATAACTGAAGCATATTTTCCCCTTCACTTTGGAGATTTCCATGTCATTTGCATTACCTCAAAATGTAATACAGCCTAATTTCAATAACAATCCCTGTTTAATGAGAGAACTGTGGATTCTTCTTTGAAACAAGATTTCAGGAGCATTTTCACCTGTTATCTGTACTCTTCATCTGTTCTCAAATAGTTTGTGGCACTTTTTGCAAGAGAGTGGAAGACAAGTTGAATATTTTTTGGAGAGTGATCTTTACTTGCTTATTGAATTTATGAAATGTTATCGTTAGTGCTTGTGTTTGAAGTGAATCAAAGATCAGAGGAATAAGTAATTATTTCAGGTACTACACAGCAGTACAGCTCTGGGAAACTCTTCCACAAATGGGGAAGAGGGACAGTTCTTTTTGTGTGTTTTGTGTGTTTTATTTTTAATGAAATATGTATAATTAATTACCTTTTAAAAATTGTCTTTAATTAGATGTTTGCCTAACTACTGTGAACATGGAGGAAAATGCTCTCAGTCCTGGACCACCTTTTACTGCGACTGTAATGACACTAGTTACACGGGGGCAACCTGTCATAATTGTAAGTAAACCCACATGTTCAGTGTTTTCTACTACAGCTGGTATGTCAAAGTGAACATAAGTCAGAGAGGACTTTCATGAGAGACAGTCATATATCGTAGGATGCTATATGCTCTAACGTATCTATAACAGGTCAAGAACTGGTCTAGGAATACCCATGGAAATCCACTTGTACATATGTTTATTTATGGACAAATATTTTGGAGAAAACAAAACCTAATTATTTTAACTGTTTTTCGCATTCTTTCCTACTTTGTCCACTGATTTGGAAAATCTTGCTTTCATTTATGTTGCATACAAATCACTGGCATGTTGGTCATTCATTACATTTTCTCACTGGTGACAGTACAAGGGGAAATGGCCACAAGTTGATCCAGGGGAGGCTGGATATCAAGAAAAAGTTCTTTACAGAAAGAGTTGTTAAGCACTGGGATAGGCTTCCCACGGAGGTGGTTGAGTCACCATCCCTGGATGTGTTTAAAAACTGTTTGGATGTGGTGCTCAGGGACATGATTTAGCAGAGGCTTGTTAGATTTAGGGTAGTATGGTTAAGTTGTGGTTGGACTTGATGATCTTGAAGGTCTTTTCCAGCCTGAACAATTATATGACTCTATGTTTCGTTGAATTTAGCTAGGCTAAATTCAACAAGTGATTTTAATCTCTTGTTGGGATTTTAAGTCAATTTTGTCACCAGTAATGAATATCTGATATAGCAATTACTTGCTTTTCATTAGTCTGTCTTCTATTGTTATTTTGCACCAAATCTGTAGGCCAGTGTAGGGTATACGTGCCATCATTCTTGTATGTTATCTTGAAGATCAGGTTGCAAGCATTTTGCTGAATGATTTAGATTGCTGCTATTAGCAAGGATACAGGATCTGAAATGCTGGCAGTACATGAAGCATGCAGCTACTGAAATCCACAGCAGTAAGTATTAAGGTGATTGAAAGACTTAAAAAAAAAAAAAATGTATTAAATGCAGCACAATGGTAATTCTAATAAAAAAATATGTATATAGAAAGGAGAAAATAGAATAAAGCTAACTAAAAGGAAACAAACAAACAAACAAAATGAATGCAAAACTGGAGAAAAGGGGTGTGTAACAGTTCTAGTAATACAGCTATAACCTCTCCAGGTGTTTGCTGAACACTGAGGTGGCAGATAGGGTGAGACTATTTCTCTGTTAAGATAAAATGTGAGATTAATTTCTCTGTTAAGATATAAAGCAGAGGAGGAGATATTCAGTGGTATGAAGCTGAAAATATTGGCAACTGTACTCTAATTCAGGAGATCCTGATGATTTGATAATTAATAATGACGTAATTTGTGGTGTGGAGTCTGGAAGTAAATGGAAAAGGTAGTTGAGAGGTCTATTCATAGATTTGCCTTCCAAGCTGAGAGCATCTGAGCACTACATTGTAAGTACAAAGGAAGCTAAGCAGTACAAAAATCATCTGGATTATACCAAGTCAGATGAAGATTGTGAAGAAAAATGAGTTTAGAGTTTGGAAAAGAGGAATTACTGTTTGCCCAGTGTTTCTGTTGTTCCAAAAAGCATGTGAGCTCACTATGGCTTGTGTCTGAAGGAGGAGACCATCTATTTATTGCTCAGGACTGGTTCATGGCTAGTTTTCCATACAAACATTGTATGGGGTTAGTAAAGCCTCTTCTATGAACTCGTGTATGTGCTCTCCCTCAGCTCCAGAGGTACATAGAGGCCTGCCATTATTTAAGGTTTACTGATGTAAAAAACTGCTCTGAAAAGTTTCTCGAGAAGATCTATGTTAAGACTTTACAGCAGATCAAGCTGTGCACGTGTGATGTACAGCTATTCAGTTCCTGAGATTATTTACAACCATGTTAACAACTAATTTGATTCCAGCTGGATTGTGGAGCCAGCGGTTTTGTAAACCAAGCGACACTGATAAACAGCAACATTAAACCAGAGGAATGCATTCATCTGCTTGAGATGTGTGATGAAACCATTTCGAAGCCGGTGGGCAAATGCTGGCTGCTGATAAGAAACCTACAGAACAAGAGACGTTATCGCTTTCAGCTGATAGTGGTTGACATACAGGAGTAGCTTGTAGCAGGGTGAATGAAAGTCTCAGATCTGATCACAGTATAATTCCAGAATATCCTCACTATACAGGCAACTCCTGCAGTCATGTAATTCAGTTAGTTCTATCAAAGCAAGCATCTAATTTCTCAAGTTTTGAAACATTATCTCAACAGGTTTTGATTTTTACTACAACATGAAGGCTAACAGGCCTATAATTGAACTAGTAACATTTTAATTTGATTTATTTACTTATTTATATAAAACTGCCCTTCAGACATAAGTTTACACAGAAACAGTGGAAAGATGTAAATGGCAATCTGCTGCAAATCAAAATTAGTGTGAGTAGTATCATTGTCAGCTGGATTTCCTCTCTTCTAGAGTTGCATCAGTGTGATTTTTTTTTATTATTATTATTTTTTAACTCTCACTGGTATGAGAAGGCAAACTTGTAATAAGTTTGTCTTGGTTTTAGGAAGAACTGTATCATGCATATTTACAAATAAGAATTAAATGATTTATGTTTTATCAGCTCAGATAGAGGGACCTTACCAGTTAAGAAATGATATCTGAACATATATTGACCTTGACTGTATGCCTTCGTTTGTAAAATTTTGAGTAATATATTTCATGTTCAATAATTAAGCAATCCCAGTATTTTCTTCCAAGAATTCATGGGACGTACTGGATACCCCTGTGAAGAACAGCTGATAGTATAGTTTATCCCTGCACCAAAGAGTTTTCCCTTTATGTTTTTGAAGACAGAAAACATCCTGGTGCATAGGATGGAGTATCAGAAAGTCTTCATCGGCATCACATGCAGTGATTTTAGTCTACCAGGTACATAATTATTATTATGCTTCCTTGTAGGCAACAAGTAATAAGGTATATTAAGAAGAGGAAGAAATGGAATGCTCACAGACATGAAGGAGTTACGTGGGAGAAAGCAATAATGTACTTGTTTGAAAAATATAAGGTTGTGGCCAGAGAAGTCTTGACGTTTTTTAGAGGGCAAATGCCAAAGTCATGACAGGTAGAGTGGTTGGTAATATGCTGTGAAAAGCAAGGATAAATAGTTTGCCTTTGACACAACAGAAGGAAAGTAGATGGTGGCAAGACAGAAAATAAGTTGATAGAAGACACAACTGGGACAATGTTTGCATGACCATGCCAGATAAGTGGGACAAGATTGTGTCTGCCATGACTCGAAATGGGTATAGCTGAAATTCAAGATGCGTGGATGAAGAGCAGAAGCATACATTTCAAAATAAATATAAAGAACTAGGTGACCTACACATATAATCCTTCTAGATATAATCTTTCCAGAGGCAATTAGTGTGCTTCAAACCTCAGGTATCCTCCTGCTCATTCAAAATCCCTTCTGATTCTGATAGATCTAGACAGTTACAGAAGGTATGGCAATCTACCTTATCCAGATGAGGGGCCACTAACAAAAGGGTGTAGGGTCGTGTACCTTTAAATAGATATTCTACATCAGACAGGTTTCACCTTGAAGTCTCATTTAGTCCTGCTTCTCTTCTTCTCTTGTCTGAACTGAACTGTCTGTACAAACAACAAATCCTTTAGTGTTTTTTGGATTTCTGTAACATACAGGAGGAGAGTGAAGGCAGGTTGTTTGCTTGTGCAGCTTGTTGCCTGATGCATAAGTCCATTTCTCTGTTTAAGTAACTGCTAATTCTCCTTCACATGTTTTCATGTGGAATACACCTTCCAAGTCTTCCCCATTCCCTTACCCCAGTGGAGAAGAGGATTTGAACTTCCTCTCATCCTTCCAGCTTCCAATGGAATTCATGTCTCCTTGCCAGCTTGTCGCAGCACAGGTTAGCAATGAAGTGGACATGCAGTTCAGTGGGAAATAAGGAAGTTGTGCTGACTTTCCCCAGGTACTCATTTCACTGCCTAATTTAAGGAGATAAGAAGTCAGGGAATAAACCTGTGTGACATTCTCATCTATGAGTTTCACTGTGCTTTGATTTCTCTTCCTCTGTTGGGAATAACATTCAATCTGCAGGTATACTGGAAGCTGCATAATCCATATCTTATAAAGAAATGATACGGTTTATTTCTCTTGAAACTACTGTTTGCTTTCTGCTTTTTGCACTGATTCAGTCTTAAGACAGTGCTTTGAGCATGCAGTCTTTGTTTCAAGCCTGTAAAATGCCTGACTTTGATTTCTGGTTTAGCTTTCAAATGTGCCTCGCCCAGCTTGCATTTACATAGGTTAGGAGATTAGCTGTGTCAAAAGCTTAATTAGATATGCTTTCCCGGTTGTACTGTGTGGTGTGTAGCCTACTGATCTGTCAGCTACTGCACTTCACAGCTTCACATGCTTCACATGTGTGAAGCATGGCAGAGTATATGGTAATGTAATCTTTTGTTTTCTGTTTTTCTATTTTAGATAGAAACACTGATTCTAGTGAACAGTGTAGGAAGAAGGCCTGGGCAGGGTTCAGCTCATTTAGTTTTCACTCTCAGGTGAACATCTTTGTGACATCTAATCTAAGTTAGTGATCTCACCTCTGCAACAGAATGAGTGAGCAATTTTGTGAATTTGTTTAATTGTATAACAGGGTGTCCATGGCAGGAACCACCTCTGCAATGTGCCAGTTTGTCTATGGGCTCCAGTTGGAGGCTGTCCTACCTTAGGCGAACAGTAGGCACTAGATCAGAGTTATAGGTGTATATATACAGAGAGAAAGGAACAGAGAGAGGAATTGAAGATGTATAGATAATGTTTTAATTCAAAGGTCATGGTTTAAAACCTCAACAGTCATCTTTTTCATGCTGTTAAATCTGGTTGTAATTACCATGTGACAGAGAAAGCAATAGACCAGTCTAAAATAGCCCTGAGATACAGACTGTTATCACTTTATTGCAAGCTAATGATTGGTAATCTCCTCTTTTTGTGACTTATGTTACTC